ACCCAAATATGTAGTACTGTCTTATATACCTAATTTTGGTAGCTTCTGGCTTCATTACCATACAATCTTCTAGGAAAAACAGATATATTTATTATTGTATGACCTAAAATAATCGATATTTTGATTCTTAATTATTTTTTTTTCAAAGATTAGAACCCCTAAAGATTATAGTAGTAAATCAGCTGATAATTTAAAATCTTTAAACGCCATATACAGGGTGTTTCAAAATAAATGCGAAAATCTTCGGGGGCGATCCCTTGTTCAAAATAAAGGGTAGTTTGCTTCATAAACGTTGGGTCAAAAGTCAACCATTAGGGAGGTATCGCGGTACAAAGATGGCGGAAAAATAATGTTTTTGTTTTTTATCTTGAAAACGGAAAGAGATAGACTAATGAAATTTTATGGAAGCATTACTGTTATGAAAACACATTTTCTGGTAATTTCTTCACTTTTTTAAAATGAGTGGAAGGGGTTGAAATAAACCCCTATCATAATAGAACCCCTATCATTCTTGTTAACGAAATTTAAAGAAAAATCTTATCAAACACATGCAAAAAAAATAATTTGGATAGTTTAGTTTCTTTAGAAACTTTTTTATCTCTTGTATTTTTTTGATAAAACTCACCGATTTGAAATTAAAAAATAAAATGTAAAGCATTACATGTCAGGACAAAAAACATTTTCTGATCAAGAATCTAGTGGGCTGCTGTAATTTTTTTTAGGAAAAAATCTTGTCGGCCGTTGTTACTTTTTAGGATGTTCCTAATACCGTATGATCGAATAAAAACGGCGTCCAGTTGGCTTGGAAATGACGATCGATGGCATTTCCTATATAAATTTACATATAAAATGACAGCGATCTTCATTTCATAGCCATCGCTGACGCCGTTTTTATTCGATCATACGGTATTATTTTATTTGACATTACTCTACTGCAATAAGTTATTATCTAGATGATTATTATTATCGTTATTATCACTAGATTCTTAATCTAAAAATGTTTTTTGTCCTGACATGTAATGCTTTACATTTTATTTTTTAATTTCAAATCGGTGAGTTTTATCAAAAAAATACAAGAGATAAAAAAGTTTCTAAACAAACTAAGCTATCCAAATTAATTTTTTTGCGTGCGTTTGAGAAGATTTTTCTTTAAATTTCGTTAACAAGAATGATAGGGACAGTTTATTTCAATCCCTTCCACTCATTTAAAAAAAATGAAAAAATTACCAGAAAGTGTGTTTTCATAACAGTAATGCTTCCATAAAATTTTATTAGTCTATCTCTTTTCGTTTTCAAGATAAAAAATAAAAACATTATTTTTCCGCCATCTTTGTACCGCAATATCTCCCTAATGGTTGACTTTTGACCCAACGTTTATAAAGCAAACTACCCTTTATTTTGAACAAGGAATCACCCCCTGAAGTTTTTCGCATTTGTTTTGAAACACCCTGTATATAAATTAACACGTTTCATTAAATTCTATTTTATTACCAACATGTATGCTGGATTTACTGGACTCATATATATGTCTGAATCTTGGTAAAATCATATTTTCTTCCTATTTCATCAAGTCCTGGACACTGTGAGATTGCTGCAGTGAAACTGTGTGCTCTCTTGCTTGACCTATGGTAAATGTCAATAATACATAAGTTATTTTAACAAATTAATCCTTTTAAATCAATTAAAATTTATAGTATTGATATTTTACGCATATACAAGTATATCAAAGCATAAACAATTATTAGAAGTATTTTTTAAATTAACTAAGATACATCTATATACTAGATATTAATATAAATGTGTTATGGAAATATTTCTTTATAGAAATCGTCTTTCTAGTGAGTTTTTAGTTTCTATAAAAATACACAATTATTTTTAATGCTCTGCTTGCCTAGTTATATCACAAAAAATTAAGAGAATATTGATTATATTATAAAACGATGTACTTACTTTAAGATTTACTGTTTTTTCGTATACTACGAGCTAATAGGTATTCAAAGGGCCTTCAAACTGTTCCCATCACTCACATAGATATCACTTTAATCATGACAATGGCAAATTTCTGTCTATTCCACAATGCTTTTGACTTGTTCATGCTTGTACATGAAGAGATTCTTCATTGAGAAGAAAGGACTGCATATTTAATTCTGTAATTTGTTAGGCAGGCTCTCATAAATACTGTATATCCATGTAGAAATCCCTAAAACACAAACAATATATGAGTTATATTAATAAATACATTTTAAACATGTTAGTGTCATAAAACATTATAAAGGGGATAATTTTTCACCAATAAGTCAGATAAAGGTGGGATATTCATATATCATTATTAATTATTGTAAAAATAAGAAAACATGGCATAGAAAATAAATGAAATAGAACTTGACTGTAGTTATGTATGAGATTAATAAAGAAAATTCTGCATTACAACTAGGTAATTTCATTGGAATACCATTTTGTTATATTTAAGGGATTCATATTTATCACCCCAAAAAGATGCAAAGAAGTATATAAAAAAGCAGTCGTCTTAAAAATTTTCACGTTCCTTGTATTTACATTTTGTACAAGTTAAGACACTGTCTGCCCCCTTCATCAGGCAACTTATGTTGAACTGTAGCAGAAAACATTTTATTATTATCAACATTTAGGACATTTTTTTTCAACTATAGGCTCAACATCTTCTTGCTTCTCGTCATCAAATACCTTCAAATCTTCCCTTTTCTTTAGTACATGGCGCAAATTCAAGTGTATAGTGTAGTATACCGTACTATTCTTATTCCACTAATATCAAAATTAAAATAGTATCTATAAATAAAGCTCGGGAAATATATAATACCCAATTTCAGGCCCATGTCTTTCGAACAACTATACCATACAATATTTCCATTGTCTCTTAGAATCGGTAATATTGGCATACCTTCTAAAGAAAAACCAGCTCCTTTCTTAAACAAAGCCCACATTATTTATACGCTTTTTAATTAATTCAAGTTAAAATTTAACTAAAAACGTTTAAAAATGTAATTTCTTTGGAAAAAAACTAAAATACAGTGTAAAATTTCACATAGAGATGGCGCTAATTCAACACTTTTTGGATACAAAAAATTACAGGATTCTAGAAATTAATTAAATTAATATTAGAAGTTCGGTTAATAATTAATAGATGCTGCAACATATTCGTTACAGAAATCGGTAATAAAACTGCTAAACATTAGCGTTCTAGTCGATAGGTGTCGCCACGAACCAACAAATTGCAGGGAACATTAATAAATAAGTTTTGGCTATCACTCGCTGAGTGGCGCCACAAGCGCGTATAGTTCCGAAAAACTCCACGAGGGCGAAATGGCGCTGTAACCATTTACCCGCGCTTTGTTTCCAATATAAACAATTTTTTTTTTCTTAAATTTTGCAAATTCAAAACAAGTGCCTTTTTGAGCTGAATTAAAATGTTGAAAGTTTAATTATGATGGATTGATGAAATACAAGTAAGAAACTGATAATTTGAAGGGTTTAGTGTTAAAAATACGCTTGTTATAGTGATTTTAATGTGTGGTGTTTTCAAAATTTAAAAAAAATAAATTAAATCAAACCGAAATATACATAAAGGTGGATGTACCACCCCATCCAACGCCGCTACACACAGTAAAAATATTCATAATAGCCTGAAATGTTTTGTTAAGGTTTGATAAACTCTACAAAAAAATTAAATCTATGATTTTTGCTGTAAACAAAAAAATCTATCATGTTTAAAGATTCTTATATCTAATTTCTTTTTGATCGGTCCATTCTAATCTTTTATGAGAAACTATGAGATTGTGAGTGATAAAATGTGCATTTTGTTTACGCATTGGGTACATTATGTCAATATTTTCTATGTGGCTTTAAAAGAACATTATGCATTTTGAAATATGCTGTGTTTTTTGTAGTAAGGCTTGTACTTACCCCCATTTCAATATCCCTTCACCAGTTGATTCTTCTACATTGTTATCTTGATTGTTCTACATGTCTCTGGGTTACATACATAAAAAGAGCTTCAATTCTCTGTATATCAGGCCATCATCTGGAGTTAATATTTAACCCATTTTACAAAGGATTTAATGCTGGCCAGTAGAAAGATCATAGAGATATCACTCACATAGATATCTCTTTAATCATAATGATGGCAAATTTCTATCCATTACACAATGCTTTTGACTCGTTCTTGCTTCGACTTGATGAGATTCTTCATTGAGAAAAAAGGATCACATATTTAATTCTATAATTTCTTAAGCAGGTTCTCAGAAATACTGTATATCCATGTGGAAACCCCTAAAACATAAACAATATAAGAGTTATATTAATAAATACATTTTAAAATTTATAGTGTCATATATCCCGTAAAGAAATCCTTTAATATAATGTAAAATATTTCATGATTTGTTGCTCACACACAGCGAAATTTTCTCTACATTTCTTTTACGATAAACAATTTAGTATTAAATCAATTGTGTAATATATAAACTTGATTATTTCTTTAAATTTTATATAATAGTTTTCATGCCATAAAAATTAAACAGGCCCAATGTTCTAAATGATTCTTTGCTTTTAAACATGAACTTTTTTTTACCGCATACTTACATGATTAATAATATATTTTATAAAGTCTATTAACTTGGATTAATATTTTCTTTCTATTATCTTTAATTAATATACTTTTACATAATTAATTTCTCTTTTATTCAACTTCCAGAAAAAAAAAACTGACAAATATTCATAAAATTCCATAGAGCAATTTTTTGTTTTGATAATTTATTTTCCCAACATTATGCAACCAGATATACACCAATTTTAATTTATCTATAGTTAAATTATTACAGCTAAATTTAATCAAATCTATGTTACAGAAATTATAATCTGATTACCAGATAATTAGAAAAATTGAATAATATGAAAAATACAAAAATAAAACAAACAAAATTAAAATAATTAATTTTATTAATACAGTTGGCAATGAATGATGCTTCATTCATTACAGTTGGTAATCCTGAAGTTGGCGTCATCATCGTCAACCATTTTATTATTTACTTTATTTTTGTCGGCTTTTAACTGTAATTTTAAATAATTATAACTAATATAAAGCAAATATCAAGCGCAAAATGAAGAGCGATAACAACGTAAGTATTTTCGTTTATTGTAATCAAACAAAATACAGTTTCGAAGTATACTTTAATTAAATCAATTTCTGACAAGTCATCTATTGGTGTCATCGATCCCTTTTAGATGATAAAACGCTGAAATTACCGTTCCTGCTATTAATTTTACGTAAATACAATCCGTGTCGTCTTTTCAGGCCGACAAACTGGAAGGAGAACAGTACAGAAAGCTGTTTATTGGAGGCCTGGACTTCCACACAACCGACGATTCACTCAAGTCCCATTTCGAACAATGGGGCGAAATCGTGGACGTCGTTGTAATGAAGGACAACATTACCAGAAGAAGCAGAGGCTTCGGCTTCATCACCTACGCCAAAGCGCATATGGTTGATGATGCACAGGCTGCCAGACCTCACAGAGTTGACGGGAGGGTTGTTGAACCTAAAAGAGCGGTTCCACGCCAAGATATCGGTCGTCCCGAGACAGGAGCCACCGTAAAGAAACTTTTCGTCGGGGCCCTCAAGGACGACGTTGAAGAAGACGATCTGAAGGAGTACTTCAAGACGTTCGGCACCATACTTTCATGCACCATGGTCATGGACAAAGAAACGAAAAAAAAGCGAGGTTTCGCGTTTATAGAGTTCGAAGACTACGACCCCGTCGACAAGGTAGTTTTATATGGTAACCATATCATCAAAGGAAAGCGTGTTGATGTCAAAAAGGCTCTTTCGAGGAACGAAATACAGCAAGGAGGTGGTACTCCTCGTGGAGGACCAAGAGGAGGTGGTGGTCCGATGAGAGGGAACCGCGGCGGACCTCCCGGAGGTTACGGAGGTCCACAAAATGCCTGGGCTCCACAGGATAACTGGAATCAAGGAGGTGGCAACTGGCAACAAGGAGGCAATCAGGGACCTTGGAGTAACAGTGGAAGTCCGTGGGACCAATCCAATCAGTGGAGTAATCAATCAGGTCCTAATCAAGGGTGGGGGGGTGGACAGATGCAAGGTGGTGGTGGTCCCCAGCCAGGAAATTTTGGAAATAACTATCAACAAGGCTATGGAGGTGGTGTAGTGAGGAATAATTATCAACAACAAAGACCAGCTCCTTACAGTAAGTGTTTTTGGTTGAATTCTTAGACTATGAACCACCTAGATGCCTCTACTTAATAAAAGCATCCTGTAGCTGACAGATACAGTCCCAAAATGCAAATTTAAAATTTTTCTTATAATTTTAAGACATTTTTGGTCATAGCCTTAGACTATGAACTACCTAGATAACTCTAGCTATGGTGGGCAACCTGTAGCTAACATTACATTTGCAATTTAAACTTTTTCTTATGATTTTATTAAATTTTTGGTGGTCTCCTTAGACTATAAATTAATTAGACACCTAGTACTTATTGTGGGCATCCTGTAGTTAATATTAAATTAATATTAAGTCACAAAATGCTAATTTATAATTTGTTCTTATGATTTTATTACATCCTTTGGTCATAGTCTTCCTCTAGCCAACATATACAGTCACAAAATGCAATTTTACAATTTTTTCTTATTATTTTATGATATTTTTGGTCATAGTCTTAGACTATGAACTACCTAGACAACTCTAGCTGTTGTGGGCATCCTATAATTATCAAACATTCACAAAATATAAATTTACAATTTTTTTTCTTGCAATTTGATGATAACTAAGGGGATTCTAGTTCTGTTATATACCATATTATAAAAAAAAAGGGTGTCACAGTAGTCTTTTTACTTTCTTTACAGATTCCGGGGGGTACGGAGGTGGCTACAACCAAGGCAACCAATCAGGAGGTAGAAGATTCTAAATCACTCCATAATGTGTGTAAGTTCAATTCTGTGTCGAATGAGAATCCATACTTTTCCATACACTTTTGTAATGCGTTTTCTGTTGTTTGCTTGTTGCTAAATAACGTTTTTATTTTGGGACATTGTCTATATTAACGTTTTTCGACTACAGGGCAATGAAGCACTGCCAAATAGACAGTGATGTATTTTCTGACAATGAAATTGAATCAAAAAAGCTGGTTTTAATGATTTTTATTAATTTTTGCAAGCTTGAGACCCTAGAAAAAAATTTAATAAACTTATTTATTATAAATAAAAAGGTTTTATTGATTATTTGCATTTAATTTTTGTGCAATAAATAACTAAAAGTAAATTAACATTTTTTTCAGGGTCTTATAGAGATAATATTTAATAGATCTTTAATATAGATTAACATAATCTTTTTGGTTTTCCGCATCCTGAAAGATTAAAAATGTCAGAAGTGGCAATATAAGAAAAATTATGTTCAATGTATATTTTAATAACAAAAATTGCATTTATATCTAGGATGGGAAAACTTGAAAGATAAAACCTTAGTATTAATTTTAAGTATTTTAATGACTGTGTACTATTTATTTTGATTTTGAGATAAAATGATAAAAAAAATTACTAATATTATAAATAGGCAGAGACAAGATAGGAAGGACTTTGCAAAAAAAATTATTTCATTGTTTTTTTAGGCTAGGCTAGGTGATAGGCATAGGTAATTTTAAAATAGATTGTGAAACGATTTTAATTTGAGATTTTTTGTAAGGTTTTTGATTAAAGGACAAATAATACAGGAAATTTGATAGTATCATTGATTTTTTTAACGTTATTTTTATTTTTTCAAAAAAAAAACGAGGGATATAGAGACAGCTAGGATAGTTCTCAGAAAAAGAATGAAACAGTTAGTGAGATTTTTAGCTCAGGAACAAGTCAAAAAAGGTAGAGATTAGAGTTAAAAAAAGCTTTTAAAAAAGTTAGAATAAGCGAAGAAAATGATTTTCTTAAGGCTAGGTATGTATAGTTTGATATTTTTCTATGTTAGGTAGGCGGTAGTTGTTCTGATTCAGTCAATAATGGCATTTGACAGATAATTTTTTCTCTAAAATCACAAAAATTCAATATAGAAAATATTTTGTATTGGAAGCTTAGATATTTTGTCATTGATAACACAGAACTTTGGATTTTGATGTATACTAAACTATCAAAAAAAAACGGTGTCACGGTGGTCTTTGAAACGATCATCAATGAAAGAACTTGTACTAAAAACTTGTTAAATCTTAACATTTAAATCGAATAACAGTAACGTTTCTGTCGATTTGACACCCTTTACTTTCACAGGCTACCTTTAATTTAGCTTTCACAGGCTCCCATGACACCGTTTTTTTTAATTTTGAATAATCAGAACGACTACAACATTTTCAGTTAATTCAGGATTTATTTTCATGCTAGGTCAGTGTATAAACAAAAAAAAATTATCTGAAGTAGACAGGACAGTACACTAAGTTATTTTTGATTGCACAAATAATATTGTGATTTAGATGTGTGATATTTCGAATTCCAGGAGCGTATTACTGTATATTATTGAAATATTCTTTGAAATTACTGTTTTTTCTGATTAATTTTTTTATTTCTGTTTAGGTTTTTGGGCTTGAGACACCCCTGCCTTGAAGAACATATTAAATAAGTACTAAAAAAAAAATGGAAACCAGCACTGTATATATAAGATATAAAACCGACTGTGATATTTGTTCCTGTGATGAATTTTTAATAAAAATATTTTTATAAACAAAGTTATTTTATTTCATTTTTTTTTCCTTTTAGAGACCTACCTTAGTCCTGAAAACTTCTGTTTTCGCGTTTGAAACTTTTTTTTATTATAAATTTATATAAAAAAATAATAAGAGTTCTTATTAAAAATATTTTCACACCCGGTATATACACGGTGATTCTCTAACTTTGAATAAGTTCAGTAAATAAAAGGTATTTTTTTCAGAAATATTCTGAGACAAAAAAAAACGAATTTTTGATGTAACAATTAAAAGTAACAACCCTAATTTTTTCTATGGTTTTTCTCAAAGTGTACAGGGTGTCCCACTAAGAATAGCTCTCGGCTGTATCTCGGAAAGTATTAGCCGTAGCCGCTGCAGAAAAAAAAAATTATAACTAAAGAGACTATGGGAAATTGCTGGAAATTATTTTCAAGTTTGTAGAACGACCGCTAGGGGGCACAACTGCAACAAAAAAATAAGAAAATGGAGTTTTTACACAATTTTGACTAGATAAGGTGTACTATAAGTAACAGCTTCATAATCTTCAGTAAATTTTGAATATTTTTTGTTAGAGCCGTTTTTCCCTATCTACCAAAATAAAGTGGTGGGGGATCTGTTTTTATTTGAATATTAATAACTCTGGATTGGTTTGGTTTGGTTTTATTGTACCATTGTATTGTCTCTATATTGTATCATATTAAAATGCCAACAACTTCAACTACTTCAAATAATAAAGGTTACATAAGTGTTCTAAATTTAAAAAATGAGTTGAAATAATGAATAATATATCTTTGATATTTATTTATTTTATTGAATTTACTCCAAGTTATAGAATCACCCTGTATAAAACTAGGGTTTTTAATATTTATTCTTACAACTGCTGAGTGGTTTTCTTCAGCTCTATGTTCTTCTATTATTCGAATTCATTCGTGTTGAAAAAGAACTCTCAATTGAAAAACTCTGTATAAAGAATGGGGAGATGTTTTTTAATTTAGAGTTAGGTATATTTATATAAGAAAGGGGGGAACACAATAATCAAAACGCAATAGACCTAAAACTACGGCTTTTATTTGAAATAAAATCAATGGAAATGAAAAGAAAAACATAATATATACAAAGATTACAGACAATATTACCACAGTACAAGGTTTATACAGTGAAATATGTTTTATAGAGACTGATTAAATCAATATTAATTTGATATAAAGTCTCTAAGTGAAGCTATGGTAGCTTGGAATAAGTTGATTTCGCCAAAACAAAATTTTAAAAAGATTTTTTTTTAATATACAAGGTTATTTAAACTTATCTTGCAGCTTTTTTAAATATACAGCTGTATATTTTTTATTCAATGTCAGGAATTTTTTCTTCTAAAAATACCGTATTATCATAAACTTTATACCGAGGCATTTTCGAATAATCACTTTTTGTTAAAATTTTCTTCAATTTTTAAAATTTCAAAATTCTAATACCATAAAATTAATTATTTTTTTTTAACTGAAAATATTATATAGTCTGTATATTAACAGTCACAGTACAGTATTCTTCACAAAGTTCATGATACTATGTATGATTTAAATATCACTCTACATACAGGGTGAGTCAAAACTAGATGCATTTTTTCTCAGCTACTTCAAATGGAACATTTTGAAGTAGTTTTTATCTGTCTTTATGTTTCTTAAGCACTCTTTATATCCAAAAATCGATACTTAATTGGCAACCAGGTCTTATTATTAAGATATTTTTACAGTTTTTCCTGTCCAACATTTTAAAACCATAGTTTGAAATAGAGAACAATATTTTTTTCGAGTAACAACTAAAGAACATGGTATTCTTATGGCTTCTTTCACTTAAAACAACTTGTATATTGTTATGATGTTGATACCAACTCTCTAAACCAAGTCAATAACTCTTGACTCTCAAGTTTATGATACAACGTGATCATCTTTATTTTCTAAACTATTAAAAATAACTGCTTCTGACTCTGTAGGATTTTGAGAAGAAATTTCACGGCTCATTATAGAAGGCAAATGATAACAAGGTCCTTCTGAGCATATTTGGCACAGGGTTGATTGAAATGAACCCATTAGTTTCCTAAAACCAAAATACTCTTCATGGTAGGTATCTACCATGATACAAAGAATACAAGGTATGATATTGCGCAGGTTGGTCACTACGTCACAGGTGATAAACGGCACCATTGGTCGGCAAGTTCCGCGCGCCAATTTCAAATCGTCAAACAGATGACACAATAAATGTCAAAATAATTTTTCAAATGTCAAGCACGATGATTTGACATAACTTTTAGGGTTATGTCCTAATTCTTCCCTATTTTAAGTCTTTTTTTATTAGTGGCAATTGCACAATATGGATATTTTTTTGTATGGCGTATGACGTCACAGGTGGTATGCGCAAACTTAACGAAATTGGGGCCGCTAGCGATCATACCTTGTTTTCTTTGTATCATGAGTATCTACTGAGTAAAAAATCTTGAAAAACTGCTAAACTGGCACATGCAATCATGCAATAATTTTGTTGTTGCTCTTGTATAACGTCTTGTTAATTCTACGTTCTACAGTGCAAGAATAATTATGTAATAACACTACTCTGTGGTATCAAAAAATTAATCTTTGGTAACATTCAAAACATTCATTCATCATAACACTATATCATAGTGTAGGATGTCCTTTATTTAGTCTAATTTCAAGGTATTATGTGGTTTGGAATCATATGGAATTGGCTTTGAATCAAGCATCATTACCGACGGAATTTCCTATGTTTTAACGTATGGGGTGTCCTTTATTTGATATAATTTGCAAATACAAACTAAAAAAAGTAGAATAACACTTTGAACACGTGTAAAAGGTTTTTTTTTCAGCCAAGACGTTTTTGTCAAGATAAGAACCAAAAAAAAATACTGGACGAATAACAGACCAATTAGTGTACCACATTAGTGTAGGGTGTCCTTTATGTAATCTAATTTCAAAGCAGTATTGATCACGCGGAATTTTCTTTCAACCAAGCCTCATTACTGAGGCAATTTCCTATTTTTTTAACGTATACGCACAGGTATAGGGTGTCCTTTATTTGATCTAATATCTAATTGACAAAAAAAGCTAAAAAAACTCCAATAACACTTTGAACACGTGTAATAGGTATTTTCTCGGCCAAAACAACAATAATTAAGACGATTTTGATCGCGATAACAGCGCGAAGAAAAAAAACGACGTACCCCATTCGAACAAAACGCGACCTTACGTGTTTTTATTTGCCTAGGTCCACCGAGGGCCCCCTCTAAGGGGCTTAAATGGTTAAATAAGCTCTTTAAACGTCCATTTAATGGTCGGTTGGCACGACAGAATGTTATCAGGCAGGAGATGATGATCGCGGACGAAGTAATAATAAAAATAATTAGGCTGCTGTGAGAGAGGAGATCATTCTTTTTATTTTGCGTTTTAACAAAGACGTTAGATCTTGCGGGGATAAGGATATATTTGAGGGTTATTAGAAGTGATAGGGTAAGGACTATATAGGGTGTTCGGAAAATGCACAGCTAAATTTCAGGGAGATCAAAAAAATGAAGTTGTTGACAGGATATGGAGTACTAATAATTGTGATATAAATGAGCTTAACAATAAGAATTTTTTAAAACTTTAAATACGAAAAATGTCGATTGTTTAATTCTGCATCTAAAAAAATAATATACGGAGTGTTGCGTTTAAATAAAACGAGAGTATTTTAAATAGTGCGATGTTGGTAAAGCCATAAAAATACCCTGTACAAGATAATGTGAATTTCCCTTCCCCGATTTTTATTTAAAGCAATTTTATTGCTTTAAATAAAAATAGTGTACTATATGATTAATTCAATTCTGTACAGAAAAATAGAGGTTACAGTTTTAAAAAAGCTTAAAACTTTATCACTTTTTTTTGGGACAACCTGTATACAACAAAATATTCTCAGGATATGCACCTTTATAAACCACGCAATATTTTTTTTATAAAACTTATCTTCGACAGCAACGACGATATTGGACTTTTTCTTACTAGGTTTTGTCAATTTTGAATTTAGCAATTTTTTACTTAAATAAAATACATCTTCTAATTTGCTCTTGCTGAATGTGCCAAACTACTACAGTACTACACTACAATTGGAACATTTTTTATCGGACATATTAAATAAAGCAGACCCTACACGTTTGCAAAACTTTCTACACAGCGACTATACATAGGAAATATTGGTAAACCCAAATCGGGATCCAAAACAAAAATGTCATAAAATTTTAAGGTAATAAAGTTATTAAAAAAAATCTGTCAAACTAACAACAGTAGCTTTGAAATAGTAAGAAAAATAAACGTCATAGATACCTGTAATGGTGATCCATATGAGCTTTTTCTATACGTTTGTCTTTGGCTCGTCTGTTTTGGAACCAAATTTTGATCTGAGTCTCGGAGAGACGTAACTCGTCAGCGAGCTCACATCTTCTACCCCTACTGATGTATTCTGATCTCTGATATTCGATCTCCAGTCTCAAGGTTTGTTCTGAACTGAAAGTTGTTCTTTGACGTCTGGGTCTACCTTCTTTCCTACGACGTCTGGCTACTAAAAAAATTATACGACTCTTTAGATCGTCTAGACCTGTTGATTCTGACTATATCAAAACTAGTTAAAATTCAGTGTAACTGAAATAAGTCTAAATTTTAAGACAGTATATTTTAATACGAGTAGAATTTTTACTTTTTTTTTAAAAGGAATATCGGTAATATCAATAACAGCGGCGGTGTATACTGTCCCGCAAGACGGAACAATGGCACTTGTTCCCAGAGTCCCGTCGCAACTTTCCGTCTGCTTAGGCGCGGACAAAAGACGGCTTATTGTCGAACATCGTCGCGAAAATCACGAATTTTCACACCTCCATTGTCGGGTATTTGTCCCGAAATAAGCCTTTGGCAACATTGCCACGTCTAAATTTCCTGTAGACATTTCTCTAATAATTATTATATAAAACAGATTTCCTTCTCAACAAAAAAAAATAAATTATCATTTTTCCCAATGGTAGTCTTGACAATTTTTTTGGTTCAACATATTTTACAGACAATCGTGACTGCTCTTTATACAGGGTGGCCCGAACTGTATTCCGGAAACTTCGGCAACATATTGTGCAGATAAAAATGAGTAAAAAAGTCCGTATGTCCTAAAATGCTTAGTTTCGGAGATACAGATACATTCCTTCCAAATAATTTCTGAACTAACGTCCATATTTGGAAGAAAATTGGAAGAAAAAAAAAGTTTGAACAGTAATAACTTTTTGTCCGTACCTGTATTAAACTACTGAGTAAAAAATATACATTTGCGACGTTTTTTACGTAAAAAAAGTCTCTTGGTAAATATTGCTACGAGTAATGGTTTTCGAGATATTTGGAACCGAAATTATTGACACAATACCTGTCATCATTGACATAAATTAAACATGTTGATTAAATAGTTATCATAAATTTGAAATGTTTTTGTGCCAAAAGTTCAACAAAAATTGTTTTATCGCCATTTTTTGGTAGAAACATTAATGATTAATGTAAAAAAATAAAAATTTCCCAAATTTATTATTTCAGTCAAATAACTATCTACTCAACGTGTTTATTTTTTGTCAATAATGACTTGTATTGACTATTTCCATTCTAAATATCTTGAGAACGGTTGCTCGTAGCGATTTTTACCAAGAGACATTTTTTACATAAAAAGTCAGGGAAATGTATATTTTTTCACTCAATAGTTTTATACAGGTACGGACAAAAAGTTATTACTCTTCAAAACATTTAAAACACATGTAGGTGGCGCCCCCTACAAATAGGAGTAATATTGACCTCAAAATCAAATTTCCCATGTCAAAAAACCCGCAGACACCAATTTTCATCCAAATATTGACGTTACTTCAGAAATTATTTGGAAAAAATCGAAATAAAAATAAAATTTCTACACCCTGTATCTCCGAAACTAAGCATTTTAAGACATACATTTATACGAACCTTTTTACTTATTGTTATCTGCAGAATATGCTGTCCGGAATACAGTTCGGACCACCCGGTATATGGATAAATTATTATGGTTGAATTTTTTCCTAAAAAGTCCTCAAAAATCAAAAGTCGTTTCTATGGTAATATAACTTTGATTTTATTATTTGATAGATGGTAGATGGTTATTATTAATTTTGATTAAGGTCATATTTTTTCTGTTGTGAAAGTATCAAATTTTCCGCTAACTATTATCACCCTTTCCGTAGCATTGAACTAAATAAATTTTGTGCTTCTTTAACATTTTAAAACGGCAAAAAATATGACGTTAAAATAAAAATTCTATCAATAAAAATCTATCAAAGAATGTAAACTACTATCTTACTCGACATGTTAATTTTTTGTCAATGATGAATTCTGTCAATGTCAAAAAATTCTTATAGATCAAGGAAATAAATATACAGTGTGACCCACTCAAAACCGGGCACCCTCCATAAAATCTGTGTTTATAGTCCGATTTTGATGATTTTTTTTTTCAAATATAAAGTTTCAAAAAATGTACTTTAGGGCTCAATGTCATGTTATTTCACAAAAAACAAGGCCTACTTAATAAAGTTTTTGTGGTGAAAAATTTGCAAAATCATATTAGCGATTTTTTCAAAAAATTTGAGTACACCCCCCATTCGGCATCCCCAAAACAGTTCTGTACAAATTTCGTTTAAAAATATTAATTATTAATAATTCTGCAGTTAAATTAAATAATTCCCTATTTTTGCCAATTTAACGATGAGTTATCACGTAACCCTTGAAAAAAACAATCCACAACAATGGGTTTTATTAGCTGTCAATTCTTGCAGCGTAGAATTGAATATTAATTTAATAGCACGCAGAAAAGTGTTGTATCAAGAAATATTATTTGCATTATGGAACAATTAAATATTAGGGATAAAATTGAAATTATTCGTTTAGTGGGTGATAACTATCTTCAAGCAGGAGAAGCTGCCAGAGAATTTAACAACAGACATCCCGACAGACCTGCAGTAAGTAGAAGCACGGTTCAACGAATAAATAGAGTTTTTAATGAAACTGGTTGTGTGTCAAAATACTTACTAAAAAACAGAAGGCCGGAACATCGAATAAATAGGCGGAATGAGGAAATATTAGAATATTTTCGTAACAATCCTCGTGCAAGCATTAGAGGCGCCAGTGTTGATTTGGATATACCAAGGGAAAATATTAGGAGATGTTTGCGAACTAATAAAGTTAAACCCTTTAAACCAAAGATTTTACACACTTTGGAAAACGGAGATGATGTTAGACGATTAGAATTCTGCTTATGGGCTCAAGCAGAGTATTTAAATAATAGAAATTTCTTAAAAGAAATTTTATTTAGTGATGAGGCAACATTTAGTACAAACGGAGTAGTATCCTCTCAAAATTCGCGATTCTGGGCAGTCGAAAACCCTGAATGGGTGATCAATACAAGAAGACAGTATTCTCAGAAATTAAATGTGTGGTGTGGCATACTTGATGATAGAATCATTGGTCCATATTTTTTTGAGAGAAATTTGAATAGTCCAACGTTTTTGAATTTTCTGATTAATGACTTTTGGGATGCAATACATAATTTACCATGCCAAACCCGTTTGAATTTAAAATTTCAATTGGACGGATCACCTGTGCATAACGCGGCAGTTGTCAGGGAATGGTTAAATGAAAATTTTGAAAATAAGTGGATAGGTCGAAATAGCCCGCTAATTGGTGGCCACCGAGATCCCGGACCTAACACCCCTTGATTTCTTTCTTTGGGGTTTCTTAAAAATAAACAAGTTTACAAGTCTAGACCTCAATCTGTAGATGAATTACGTATTAAAATTACAGAGGCTTCTGCAAATATTACACCACAGCAGCTTAGGAATGTAACTGTTAATCTAAGAAAAGATGCGACAAATGTATTGAACTGAATGGAGGGCTGGTAGAAGCAACTAGAATTATTTGAATATCTTTAACTTATTATTCGGTTATTGTGTTGCTTGTAGTATTTTTTATCATTGTTTGTAATAAAACTCGTTGTCGTGGATTGTTTTCAAGCTAGTTATTTGATAATTGGCAAAATAGGGGAATTATTTAAATTTAACTGCAGAATTATTAATAATTAATATTTTTAAACGAAATTTGGTACAGAACTGTTTTGGGGGATGCCGAATGTAGGGGTGTACTCAAATTTTTTTAAAAATCGCTAATATGATTTTGCAAATTTTTCACCACAAAAACTTTATTAAGTAGGCCTTGTTTTTTATGAAATAATATGACATTGAGCCCTAAAGTACATTTTTTGAAACTTTATATTTGAAAAAAAAAATCATCAAAATCGGACTATAAACACAGATTTTATGGAGGATGCCCGGTCTTGAGTGGGTCACACTGTATATATCACTATAATATATACAAATAATAACTCCTCTGTATCCGATATTTTGATATCCTCTATTGTCCATCATCAAATTCGTTCAATGTAAAACAGGGAAGACAGACCAAAAAGGGGGCAGGCTTTTGTCGACAAAACATGTGACAAATCCCACCCCCTCCGCTCTTCTGGGGCGCAGTCCCGTCCCCCTTCTCCCCCGAACCCCCTCGAAATCACGGAGGCTTCCATCTGTGAGGAGCTAATCGCATCATAATAATATTTTGTATTGCGAATTGTAGTTGTTATCGTTTCCGGGATAGGCAACGTTGCCATGTGTATAGTAATGTTTATTGAATTTTATTTAATACAAAATAAAATAAAAACAGGGGTTTTGTTAATATATAAAGTGGGCCATACCAATACCACCTATCTAAAACCAGGATAGCCAAAATTGAGCTTCTTACGATGAGTGGTTTGAACAGGATCGTGATTAATCAGTATGTCAGTCACTTAAGGATTTTATGTGATTTTGTGACAAATTTCGAATGACAAAATAAAACAACCAAATAACGAATTTAGACATTTTAGTCCATAAAGGTTGCCATGACGACCTTTACGGCCTAGGCCGAAAAAGAAACATTTTACGGACTGAAATGAGTCCGTAAAATAGCTGTTTTTGGGAGCGTATGACAAAAACTAAATTTATGATATTAAAAACTCCATTATAACATTTAATACAAGGCCCATAGAGAAGGTAGATAAATTTAAGTACTTGGGCATCTGGCTCTCCGAAGATTGGACATCAGACAAGGAAATTAAATGTCGCATCGAACAAGCTCGGCAGGCATTCTTGAGGTTCCGAAAAGTACTTGTCTGTTCTGATTTTGACCTTAACCTCAGATTAAGATTCGTAAAGTGTTACGTGTGGTCGGTGCGCCTTTATGGTATGGAAGGTTGAACATTGAAGGCAGCTGCCATTAATAAACTAGAGGCTTTCGAGATGTGGCTATATCGCAGAATTCTGAAGATACCTTGGACGGCTAGGTTAACAAATGAGGAAGTTCTGAGACGTGTCAACAAACAGCGCGAATTGTTTGAATTGGTTAAGAAGAAAAAAACCGCATAATGGCGAAACGATCTTAATAAGATCGAAGGCCGGAGGGGTATCGGAAGGAAGAAAATGTCTTGGCTGAGGAATGTTAGACAGTGGACAAGCCTACACGATGTACAGTCGTTAATAAATACAGCCAGGAATAGAGAAGCGATGGAACATGTTGTCGCAAACATCCATTAATGGATTCGCACTAGAAGAAGAAGAAAAAGTTCAACAGAAATTGTTTTATCATCATTATTTATTCGCAGAAAAATGTATGATTAAAAATTTCTCAAATTTATTATTTCAGTCAAATAATTACCTCTACTCGACGTGTTTATTTTTTGTCAATAATGACATATATTGACTATTTCCATTCTAAATATCTTGAGAACGGTTGCTCGTAGCGATTTTTACCAAGAGACATTTTTTACGTAAAACATTACGGAAATGTATAGTTTTTCACTATTTCAATAGGTGATATTAATCATAAATTTGCAGAAATTTGAGATATTTATTGTTTCAATTAAAATCGCGACCATGTGTCAAGGTAAAACTTCCGTTTTTGCTAGAGAATCTCTACCATGGTGCCATATGGTATCCTTTCTGCACCCATAGGCCCCGTTCACACGCTATCGGTTTCATAAGTTGATCATTTATAAGGTAAATCGGCTGTAATTCCAGCCTTAATACGATAATTTCCCTGATTTTTACTTACACACATATTATTATCCTCCCCTCATTCTCATAACGTACTAGGCTGCTAGGTTTTCTTATACAGGGTGACCCCAAGAAACAGCGTTCAGAAAAATCCGTATTTATTATAATATATAAATTATCCCCGGATTGTTTTTACAAGCGGAAAAACTTTTTTGTTATTGACATTTTGAAAAAATGTATTTTTCATAAAAAAATTTGCTTTTTCTACAGAGTTGTTCACTACCACATACGACACGGAGTATTGTAGCTAAACGATTAGATTTTTACAAATCGTTTTGGGTTTGTTGAAGGACTATTAGAGCTACAATTTAAAAAGAATTTTTCAACATACAGAGTGTCCCAACTAAGTAAAAAATATTATAGTTTTTTTTTAAATGGAACACCCTGTATATTATTTTATTTTTAGATTCTATACGATTGAAATAAAGGTAAATTCGATTAGGTTTATAACACTTAAACCTTACCGTTTTTGAAATATTTTCAATTTTGTGAAATTGCAGTAAAAAATTTAAGGCTTCATTTCTTCAAGGGTATCAAAGTTTTTAATACTAAATATTTAATGATCATGATGATGAATTATTTATTGATCAGATATTGTTATGCAATAATAAAAATTATACTACCTTATACAGAGTGTCCAAAAATTTATATTAAATAATTACAAGCTTTAAACGGTAATAACTTGTTTAATTTAAATGGAACACCCTGTATATTTTACGCGATTCAGATGCACAATTTAATTGTCTATCAAATTGTATTATACCATCTTTTACCTAACTCTTCAAGTTTTCGTAGAAAATACATATTTTTATAATTTAGACCTCATTTATCACTACACCTATGAAATATTGACATTTTATATTATTTTAAAAGATGTACCAAATTTTCAAAGAGTACAGATACTAATATTGTCGATATAGTTCGCTTATTTTATTTAAAAATTGTTTAAATACTTTTTGTTAAAGAGGACCAATTAATATGATCCCAGTATTCAAACTAGATTAATTGACTGTTTAGATTGATTAATAAATAATTGCTTCAAATATAAAAAACTGAATTTTGGTTGTGTATTACACAGTGTGGTAAAAAATAACACCTTATAAAATTTATTTAATTTTTCTGACCAATGCTTATTTATAAAAACAGAGACATTCATTTTCATAACTTATTATTATATTGATTTCTGAGTCAAATCCACATTAATTTATAATAATTTCTTAATTAAAACAATTAACTATGTAATTATCTAATTTTTGGGCGTAAATAATGGTGGTATATTTAATTGGTATACTCTTTTACAGAGATTTTTAAAACGTTTTCTTTTTGTAAACAAATGGGCTTGCTATATTATTATTTTTACCACCTGTACAGGGTGGGTCAAATTCGACACTTTTAAATGGAAACACCCTTTTCTATAGGAGATAGACAAAAACTAATATGTCTGGTGCTCAATTTTTGTCAAAAACATGATGGTGAAAACCGTATATCGATATCTGTTACCGTTTCGGAGTTACGGGGTGTTTTTCAAAAATATGCATTTTTAACAAATCGCTGTAACTTTTTTGCTATGGAAAATTTAGTATTTTTATGAAAACATTTCCAAAGCACCTTTTTACGTAGAATTTAATGGTTTAAGTATAATTTTTTTAAAATTACAATTCAAAGTATAATACAATTCGATTGACAATTAAACTGTGCATCTGATTCTCGAAAAATATACAGGGTGTTCCATTTAAATTAAACAAGTTATTGCCGTTTATAGCTAGTAAAGAGGCTAGTAGTTATCTCTGTATAAGATATTATTTTGTTTATTATTGCAACACAATATCTGATCAATAAATAAACTTCAGTAAATATTTAGTATTAAAAACTTTGATACCTTTGGAATTTGAAATGAAGTCTTAAAATTTTTACTGCAATTTCTATCTGCGTTTATCTACAATACTTCGTGTCGTATGTGGTGAACAACCCTGTATACAGTTTAATGTAAAATCCAAAAAGCATAAAATAAACAAGACGTTCGTTTACCAGTTGTATTTTTAGTGAACACTAAACCAAATATGAAATGAAAATTCTTTGAAATTTGACATAAGTTGCGATTTTTTATATTTGAAAGAATATAAAAAAAAACAGAAGTACTTACAGAAAGCTGAAAGTCCCGCCGCCGCAGCTGCTAGATGCGACTCAGGAGGCAACAAAAACGGGAAAGAAGTTGCCAGAATCGGTACAGGAACCACCAACTCTTCCCTAGTACTTTTAGAACCATTCCCGTGATTCCCTGGACATCCCAGGTCATTTTTTTCGTCTATACTTTTTTCAGACTTTTCTGAAGACTTTTCCAAGTCATTTTTCTCTAAATCTCCATAGAGTTTCTTAAAAAACTCTCTCGGACTCGAAGGTTGATTTGTTTTGGTGGTAGATACAGTTGTCATTGCAACTACAACAATACATAAATTTTTACAAAAATAAAACACTAATGTTCTATCACATAATCACAACAAGGTTTACTAAAATTAAGCTGATCACTTTCAGACCAAGAGACTGGATGAAATTGTGGGTAAATATGCTTTAAATGACGTCTAAAAACAATTTTAGGGAAGCTATACGATAATTGTAAGGGGGCGGGTCTGTGAAACAGGGCGGAGTTGGGCACAACCAACGGATGGAAACCTTTGAAGGGTCTAGGGAAATGATTGCGGTGGTGTAGTTACACGCAAAAATGTTGTGATTTTAACTATTAGAGGAATTTATAGGATTAAAAACAAAGGTTGTTTGATTTTATTTAGTTGAAGCATTATCAAATTTAAAGCTGAACTAGTTATAGATATACAGGGCAGTCTTAAATATGAGTGCAAATATTTTTTATCAGGGCTGATAGAACTGTAGATAAAATAATCATATTTTCTCTTTACCGTTTTTCAAAATAGTCGAAAAAATAACAGTTATTTTACTTCTACAAGCTATACAGGGTGTTTCAAAAAACATGTGCCATCTCTCGTGGGAAATTGCTCACGTAAAAATAAGAGTTATTTTTCATATCAATATAAGTCCGATTTTGCTTTGTTTCCTAGCTACAGGGTGTTAAGGTCTTAATAATCTTTCTATTTATTATAATTTTGTTCTAAGTATTTTTAGTGTAAAAAGCTACTGTAAGTGCTATATATTTTAATTTATAAAAGTGTTGATAAATACATCAGGGACGTGCATATGGGTTATCACTGGAATATTTTGCAAAAAAAAAAATATGTGCGCCACTGACTTTCTTCGTTTGATATCAAAATTATATAGGCCGTTTAATGCCAATTAAAAGTTATCTCTTAAAATATAATAAATAAAATAAAAATAAAATTAATAAATTATATAAATAAAAAAAATAATGGTGTTTAAGATAATTACAAAAAAACTAATTTTAAAAAGTTTTAACATCCTGTAACTCTAAAACTATGCATTTCCATACCCGAGTTTATAAGAAGAAAATTATAATAAATCCAAAAAAATAATAAGACTTTAACACCCTGTAGATACAAAACAAAGCAGAATCGGACCTATGTTGATATGAAAAATAAATCTTATTTTTACGTGAGGAATTTCCCCACGAGAGATGGCACATGTTTTTTGAAACACCCTGTATGTTGCTATATTATCAATATATGTATTTTGTTTTTTAACTAAAAATTAAAAAAAAAAATTAGAAAATACAAAATTTTAAATTTTTTTTTTCGCGAAAAAAAAGCCTCGTGTTTTTGGGGTTAAAATATAAAAATATTTGCACTTATTTAAGACTCCCCTGTATAGCTATAATAAAAAAATTGCTACAGAAGAACAAAAGACACTGACGGTATAGTTGTTATATGTGTATTATAATTAAAATTATTTCTTCAATATTTTTTATTTTATTCTTAGATTCTGCGTAAAATTCTGTAATTTTTTTGTTGATAGTACTATACCATTTGTGCCATTTTCTATCGAATAAAGTAAAAAATTACCGAGGTTGCCATTTAAAAATCAAAAGTTGTAGTCATTTCCGGTGAAACAGGAAGTAACCGAAAACAACTGAATACGTCAATCAATCCTAATTTATGTCATATACTAACATATCAAATCTCGTTTTTTTTTCACTGAAAAAATAAAAAAAGTTATAGGGGTGAGCCATTTTTGAGACGCACCCGGTATATTAAGTTAACTTTATGAATCAATAATTAATAGATTTTAAAGAAATATTAAATTTAATGTCAAAAAATAGATGTAAAATTTAAAAAAAATCAAATAAAGATTTTCAAAATCCCATTTTTAGCAAGATTTTTTTTAAATGTTAAATTTGACAGATACCAAACAGCTAGGTGTTCTTTTTTAGTCAAATTCAAGACAAAAATTAACGCGAAACTCTAATTACACCTAAATCAGCAAATAAAAAATCTCCTAAGATGCTGAATTTATCTCTGACACTGTATAAACATCATTTATTAATAAAAAATAAATTTTATAACTTATATATTTCAGTTTATTACTATTTTCTCACTTTTATTGCGTTTTAAAGTAATTTAAGAATTTTTGATTTATAAAAAAATAGAATAATTTTGAATCAAATCCTGTAATGTGCTGCCATCTGTTCAAACCTTACTAAACTAATAACTCCCAAAATATTCAGCGAAACAGAGACCTGTAACGTTGCCCAATAGTTCGTTCTTCTTTCGTTAAATAGATGGCCCTGCTGTTACATTTCTTTTTGAATATATATTTTTTACAAAAAAAAATATATTCATTTAAAATACGCCTAGTTGTTGCATAGAGAATTTATATTTTCGGTATTTTTGAAAAACTATAATAATTAAAACAAAAAAACTTCTTCCAAATAGTTTTATTTCATAGATTTTTCATAATTATTATAAACATTTATTTTTGTTTTCTTATACTTCTACACTGTAATACATTTATTTTAAGTCTTTGATGTGCCTTAAAGATAAAATTTCATCTTTTTTTTCCACTCATTTTCAGCACTAAATTTTAATCATTTTCCATGAATTTTTCGTTTTTTGATGTATATAGAGAGCACCATACTGTACACTAATATAAATAATAAATACATATATACACAATAATAGTATATTTTATACAGTATATACAATATAATTTCTTCGCTATGTAGCTTTATACTGTGTGTGTGTTTTTTTTCATTAAATTTTCTTTTTAAAGCTATATAAGTAGGTATCTTTTTGTTTAAAACTTGTGCATTAATTTGAATGAAAATTTTTATCACACATATGATTGGTCTGATCATTGAGATATACAAGTATACTATGATATGAGATTCATTTAATTTTTGTAGAAGATTTTTGTACAATTAGAAGCATCGTATTTGGGTTCTACTGCTAGAGAAATAGGACACAGTAATATATTTTCTTCGCTAGCCAATGTATTTATGTTTCCAAAACTCGGTATATTTTTAAAGATACAATATGTCGAAAGCGTTTTATTTTTCCCTGGTCACACATACGTCTAGAAAAACAGAGAGTTTTTTACATCTAAACATAAAAGGGACACATTTAGTTTTCGACCTGTATGGATTCTGTATTTACAAGCTTCGTATGGCTTTTATCTTGAAATCTGAATCGTATAAACTGATGTGGATACATCTATTAACTACCACATATCACAGAAATATTTATTTTATTCATCTTCATGTTTAAAGTATTTTTTCTTTGATCTTAGCTTGTCAAAAAATTTTTACACTCACTTTACTTATCAATTTTCACAGTTTTAAGATAACTAACAAACCAAACTAAACCACATTATCACCAGAGCACTATTTTAAAAGAAAATGAAAAATGTTTCTTCATATTTTTACCAATTTTAACCAAAAAGAATGTCTTAGAGATAAATATGGTTTCTCAAAAAAATTGTATTCGAATATTTTGTCATAAATATAGGCCCAATATCTTTGCAAATAAAAAAAATAAAGCAATTAACTAAAAAAGAATTTCAGGTACCTTCATTTCATAATGTATTTATTTTTTCTGATAGAATTTTCACATTACTGAGCAAGAGATCTTGAAGGACTCCATTTTGAAATTACAGAATTTTCAACAGACTAAACCATAGTGCATTGGAAACTTGTTCAAGCTAAAATTAACACATATTTTGTAGTATAAAAAGCCTATTATATCATTAATAAATAAGTTATAGCTCAATATTTGAAATTTTACTTACTCATTCCATTATTTAGGTATATTTATATCTCTAGAACAATTTTCTAAAAATCATGTTCAAAAGGCTTTCAAGCTTCGACATTTTTAACGACTTCATTTGTTTAATAGCACAGAATCTCTGATTTAGGAAACCATGTTTACGTATTATATTGGGATTCATTTAAAAATCTTTTAATTAAAATTTTAATGTAAACTTCCATACTTTCTTAGATAATTCTTCTTATATGACCTCTAGAAACGTAAAAGAGCTACAAACATCATGAAATACCTATAATTAAACAATTAACTAACGCTTATTAAAATGTGTACCTTCCTGGGGGGCATATTGAGATTCTTATTCATCCATAATTTTATGAAATATTTCCAGTTTCCGCATGAAAAATCATATTCTGTGTCCATAGTAAACATGTACTAATATCTTGATACACTTTTAATACAATAAACTTAAAGTTTATAACGATTACAAAGAAAAAACTTATAAACTTTTTCAAACTATGTTTAAACTCGCCATTTTTCAAAAACAAAATTCGTCGACCCTGAGATGTCAAGTACTGCCAACTTATTTCGCGTTAAAAATTACGCGCGTAATTTTAAATCAAATTAAATGCTTGTTAAGACTTTTTAAGATATTTTAACGTAGAATTAGAGCAAAATTACTATAAAACAGGCGTATCCAAGTTAGTTTATATGATCCAGAATCAAAACAAGCAGGAATTAGAGCTTAGAAACGTGTTTTTTCATCTACAATTTGCTTTCTTCTGCGATATAAACTACGCGCTCAATTTTTAATGTTCTTGTGATCTCTTAACACGCTTCAACGTACAATTACTATAAAACTGATATATCCAAGTTAGTTTATACGATCCAGAACCAAAACAAACGCGAATTAAAGCAAAAAAACGTGTTTTTCCGTCTACAATTTGCTTTCTTCTTCGACAATATCATCCTCACGGGGTCTCAGGGAGAGTTTCCGTGAGGATCCCCCTCCCTAGATCCAGGTGCGTCTCTGGGAACCCCCCGCAGTGGAGTTGGCGTTGTTGCCGTTGCCCGCGGGTGCCATTTCCGGTTGCTGTTTGGTCCCAGAGTTGGCTCTGCGTCAGGAGAATTGCCTCAGTTCGCAGCGTCTTCCGGTTGCGTCATCAGGAACGTGACTGTAACAGGTGTTTGTAGAGGAGGAGGGGGAGGGTCTGGTGCCCATGGCGGTGTACGGGGTGAAAGACATCCTTACTGTTCCTAGAAAAGAATTTTTGTAGGTTTATTTTTGGTTGTTTTGAAGTTTTTAAAGAAAAATCTTCAATGTTATCCATATAATGGTGTCTCAATACCTCTATATCTATGAAATACGTTATTTTTTTCACTGTCGCAAAATATATAATATTATGGTTCAATTTTCGGTTAAGTTGAAAACAAGTTGTTTTGTCTTTTTTTTTAGTTTTAATTAACACTCTGTATATTTATGGCGATTTAGATGGAGAGAATATGTAGCAAAAAGTAAAGTAATGTACAGGGTGAGTCAACGATAAAGTCCATTATCTCATTTGTTTCGATGTTTACAAAAAAATGTCAAATGTAAAAGTTATAGGGAATGTTAAGATACACGTTTTAAAATGATTACAGAGTATACAGAGTGCTTTAAAAAAGTGTGGCGGATATAATATGTTTTTCTAAATGCAACAGCCAATTTTTTATATCGTTTGGCTTTTTTCCTTGATACTTCAAATCATTTAAAAAAAACACAACAAAACAATCTATTTTAAATCTATTAGACGTAAACTTTATGGATCACACTGTACATAAACAAATGTAAAACAAAATTCATTCAGAAAAGCGTGGTGTTTTGGCATTCTAAACATCGGCATTCAAAAAATTTGTATGCACCATAATGCATGAATATGTGGCATGCAGTCTCAAAAGCATAAATGAAATAAAACAATACATTCATTGAACATATCTTTGGCAAATTTTTTTTACACAAAGTAAACGTACAATAATTTGACTTTTGATTAGTTTCAAATTGTCCAAATTGACCAAAGATATAGTAATGAATATAGTTTTCAAAAAAAATACATTTAAATTCAAATAAATAAAGATTACATACGATCGAGAGAAAAAAAAAACGGTGTCATAGAAGGCCGAGGAATGACAATCGATGATAATTTTGGCGAGGTCAAGCTCTCGACGTCATTCATTTCGCACGTACTCTTCTCTAACTCGTTTTTATTGATTAAAAATGATTTTTAAATAGTGCAGTTTACGGTTTCTGTCAATTTTTAATGAATGACCTCTAGAGATCGACAACTGTCATCGATTGTCATGCCCTAGTCGTCTTTGACGCCGTTTTTTTTCGATCTTACCGTATATGTATGATATGTATAATGACGTACATGCCACATTTAGTAAAAAAATTATTTTCTGAATATAAAAAAAATAAAAAAAAAACGAAGAATAAAAGGTTATATGGAGCTGTAGGATTTTACTTATTCGATATGCTGTTAAATTCATGCTTGAATGCTCAATCAAGCCATTTATCCTTCAGTGGAATAAATACATACAAATTTTGCTGTCGATGTATCTCAGACTTTGCGGGTGGGTCTGCCACCTATTCCAAGATTTTCCAGATTTTAGTCTTACACCTAAAACGACAACACGCTTGTCTTTTTTGCCAGAATTTTTTGCTCCAAAAAACGATTCAAGTATTAGAAAACTACATTTTTTCTGTATATACAGGGTGTTCTAGGTTTGGCATGTATTAAAAATTTCGAGATCACGAGATCTATCGATTAAAAATATTATCAATATTATGGCGGCACTTTTGGAAATACCGGAATTTGATAGCAACTTTCTTATTTTAAATAGGTGCCCTCATTTTTTATTACATACTTAAATTCTCTGTAAAATTCTATGAATATTGATATTAAACACTATATATCTAACATTAACCGTTTTTGAAAAAAAAATATTTAAAATTTTTGGACGAAAAAAACTAGCTGTCAAAAAAAATTGTATAGCCTAAAAGTCAAATCTAGTGATTATCACACACACTATGACATAAAGAGAAGACGTATGGCTCTCTATTTCAAAAATTAAATTGTTAGGTATAGTCTATAAAATGAATAACTTTGAATTTTGACCGTTATTTTTTACCAACATGGCAAATATAAAATCCCTCTGTCAAAAAAGTTACTGATATTCTTTAAATTGAGTGCCTGAACGAATTAGATAGGTAACTCTTTTTACTTTCGTGAAATAGAAAAGGAAAATAATAAAACAAGTGACAGTTCTTCCTCTTCTTGCAAAAATCAACACGAAATGTCATAATTGACAAAAGTAAAATGTCATCAGCTTTTGACATTTCTAAATATTAGACCAATGACGTCTCTAATACAACAGCCACGGAGCGAGATTTATGACGTCACGCTAGTTAGATACTACGGATTAATAAATACGTTGTAGAATACATGGAAAACATAATTATTCCTCGTATTTTTGGTTTGTATTTTAAAAATGATATAGTTTACATGAAATATACATAATATACAGTTAATAAATACAATATAATATATACCTATTTATAGTAATAAATACTTTGGCAAATAAACTATGAACAATACAAATGCAGCAAATGTTTTACAATAAACAAATAATGAATAGGTGGTACATAAGATAATGGGTAAAATGTAAAATATATTTTAAATTTTGGGGTTTGAAAATCGATCTAATTTAACAAAAAACATTCAATATCTACTAATAGTGATGTATTATTATTTGCATTCACAAAAATTATTTATATATGTTTACTGCAATTAATAAACTAATATAAACTTGTCAAAAGATAACCACATATTTTTTTAAATTATTATTCTTAACACAAAAACTATCAACATTGACTATGGAGTACGATTTCAGCCATATTGTAAAACACTTGCTGCATTAGTATGGTTCATAGTTTTATCTGCCAAAGTATGTATTACTATAAATAGGTATATATATATTGTATTTATTAACTGTATATTATGTATATTTCATGTAAACTATATCATTTTTAAAATACAAACCAAAAATACGAGGAATAATTATGTTTTCCATGTATTCTATAACATATTTATTAATCAGTAGTATCTAACTAGCGTGACGTCATAAATCTCGCTCCGAGGCTGTTCTATTAGAGACGGCATTGCGTCAGCATGGCCGCAAGTTGCTAACCTAATAAAATTAACACTAGAAAAGCCCGCGGGAACTGTCAAATTCAAAGTTATTCGTTTTACAGACTTTATAGAGTGTTTAGTATCAAAATTCATAAAATTTTACACAGAATTTAAGTATGAAATAAAAAATGATTGCTGTCAATTAAGTTGCTGTCAACTTCCTGTATTTCCGGAAAATATTTTTAATCAGTAGATCTCGTTGTGAAACAATGATGAGCAAAAAATCACCGATCTAAAAGTTCTCTAGAAACTTCTAATGCACGTTCAGCCTGGGACACCCTGTATATAAATAGTGACAGAGAAAAGAACTATATATTTACCGTTTCTGACTATCCTGTTATGATCCGGACTGCCAGAGTATGATCTCCTTTTACTTGTAAGCACTTCTCTTCTGGTTAGAGCACCAGGGCTCACGTGAACAAATGGCAGACATGAGAAAAACTGTTTGAAACCTCTTCTAAATCTATTAACACACAAAAAAATAAATCCATCAAAAGGAAAAGACAAGTTTTAAGTTTGTTTTTCTTGTAACCTTCAAAGAATGTAATAAAAAACTCTAATTTTCTTTTAAAAATGTTGTTTTTAGCTTCACTACTAAGACGGGGGCATAAAAAACCCGGCCATGGTGGCGGTATATTAAATTTAAAATTTTTACTGTCTCATTATGAGTCGTAATTTAACGGATACATAATAAAGTAACTTTATTAGTTATTTTTACGAAAATTTAAAATGTTTTGTACAGGGTTCGTTAAAGAAATCATCAGACGAGAGCTACGTTCAATTTTAGTTTTGGCTTTTCCGAAAAACTCACCGGTTTTTAAATAAAAAAATATTCTAATATTTGAGGGGTGGTTTCACCCCCTTAGAATTCGAGTTTCGAAAAATCCCTTCTTATCGAACCTCTACACCCTAGAATCAACCCTGTATGCCAAAATTGAGCTTCTTACGTTGAGTGGTTTAAGCAGGATCGTGATTAATCAATGATCAGATTTTTCGAAACACCCTTATACATTTTTAAAAAATCTTAAAATATGTAAAAAACAAAATAAAATATACTTGTTTAAGCGTTTTTTCGGAAACTTGACCGTTTTTTAAATAAAAAATATTGTAATATTTGAGGGGTAGTTTCACCCCCTTAGAATTCCAGTTTCGAAAAATCCCTTCTTATCGAACCTCTACACCCTAGAATCAACCTGTATGCCAAAATTGAGCTTCTTACGTTGAGTGGTTTGAGCAGGATCGTGATTAATCAGTGAGCCAGTCACTTAAGGATTTTATATATTAGTACAGATTAAATCTTTTTAATGACTTAAGGTCTTTTCTAAAAAGACTTAAACAGTTCTTCGGTTTTACCTGACAAGCAAAACGTACGGTATAACGCCTATAAAGTGTAGACCTAGCTTAATAGTTGATTAGCACAATTCATCAAGCTCTTCCCACACAGTTTAACCTTTTCGCTATATATTTTATAATGAATGGATGAAACAGTCTGTCAGATTGTCACATCAACCACCTGCTAGGGCTCCGCAGAGCCCCATTTTGAACCCCCCACCCCCTTTCTCGTTTGCCAGCGATTATATAGGAATTGTCATTAGTTTACAGATTTCGGGAAGCGGCATTTGCTAGCATTTAGTCTATACGATATGATTAAATTGTTTGATTATTATCTTTTGTTGTCTCTGACGTGGCGGTTTATATTGTTTTAATCCACCTATCCTATAATATAGAAGCAGTTGATGAGATATTTGGTTAAATTCTATTTTCATTTAATTATTTTGAAATTACGGAAAGGTGTAGCACAGTGATGTATAGGGTATCCCACTAGGGGAAAATGGTTCTAAGAGAAAATATGCAAAATTTACTGAAGATTATGAATCTATTATTTATAGTATCCGTTATCTAGGCAAAATTGTGCAAAAACACCTCTTTCTTATTTTTAATAGCAGTTACGCCATCTAGCGGCCGCTCTGCCACGCGTTTCCTTTGAAGGAAATTGATTCAAAAAAAAATGTTAAATTGTTAAATTTTAAAATTATTAAATTGACAAGAAAAATTATGAAATTAAAAATTTATAGAGAACCGAAAAAAAAAATAAATAAAAAAAAACGTCTTATTAAACTGTGGAGTGTGCGTGCAAATAGGCCCTAGCTCTGCCGAAGAGATGGGGTGGGTTTTAAGCGCCACTGGCTTTGCACAGATAAGCCAGAAAACCCCCGAGATATTCTTGGAATCTAACAAGACTTGTTATTAAAAAAAAATATTAGAAAGATAAAAAAAATTAAGGGATGAATGAAACACTAAGATAAATTAATAGAGTATTGTATAATGATATTAAATTAAAAAAAAATGAACCAAATTTGATGACGTTGTATATACTAAATTTAATTAAAAATTGAAAACTGAACCGTATGTATGTACCTTGAACTCTGGAACCTTGAATCAATATAAGATAAAAAAAGGTAAGTAAGAAAAGGGAAAACAAATAATAAGGGAAGATAAAATTTCAGTAAACGTTACTTGTTTCTGCTTCAAACCTGATCCAGCGACGTAGTTGCCAAGCTCAGTGCTTCAGAAGGATACCACTTCCAGAGAGACGTACTGGAAAAAGTCTGTCAGAAAAAGCAAGCCAGAAAAATGCTTCGTAGAAAAATCCTCGTATAAAAGAAAAATCCTGGTCCAAAAAGTTCTGGTCTCAAAGCCTGGTGGAAAAATCCTGGTCTTAAAAGCCTGGTCCAAAAAAAGCCCTAAAACCGAGAGCGGTATTAGGTTTACGAAATAAAAAGAAAGTTACCTAGAAGGGATAGATTGAAACAAAAGAAACACAGCTATAATTAATTAAATAATCAAAACACGTTTCAACTGTAGAAATATAAAAAATATCATAAAAAGTTACCTTGCTGGGCTTCACAAAAAATCTAGTTTTTTTTTCTAATAGATGGATGTTCAAATTGCTGGATTCAGAAAGCAGAAATTACTGGAACAGGTGGTGGTTTTAAGTTCCTCTTCCCAAGAAAATCGACGATGACAAAGAAATAAATCAAAAGGCTTTCCCTGTTAAGAAATAATTTGAATAGTACAAATCACACTAGACAAAATGGCGATCAAAAAAACTTACCAGCCACGAGCAGATTAAAATCCCGTATAAAACGGATCAGAGATACTTTTAAAAAGGTAAGGTACAACTCAAACAGCAAAAGTATCCCTTATAGTTCTAGTCAGTGATTATCCCCAACAAACGGGTAAAACAGGAAAATTCCAACAAATTACACTGACTAAAACACCTGCTTTGAAGCTGAAGGGAAAAATGGGAAACCTACATCGATCAGATAGAGTTCCGCTCCGAAGAAATTTGACTTATACTGCAAAGTTGCAATTTAATATTCTGGGAATTTAGAAACATTGCCAAAATAAACATTACTTAGAATTAAAAGTAAATTCCAATAACCATTCAAACACAAACATACCAAACCTTATGCCGGTGACGATGCATACACAATATTACGGAAAGGATGTCGATTATGCAATCAATAATTATCAGAAAATACAAACATCAGAACCTAAAGGAAGTACTGCCCAACCTGACAACAGCGTGTGTGCGCCGAATTCACGCATCTCAACTGATCTGAGCAATTCAATATAAATGACATTATTAATAATAATTGTTAACCCTACAATTTGCAGAAAATAAACAAATGATAAATTTCAAGAAATATGCAGGTAAATAACTTCATTTTGAGCTCTATAATGAAATATAGGATCAAATAATATTTTAGAGACAATCCACACTTGATAGGAAATCTTCTAAGATAATACAAGGGCAAGCAGTACCGCAAACTACTAGAAATTACGGCAAATAGGCTAACATTCAGAAACATAAACAAGTCCAGAAATTAAAGGTAATATTTTGGTGAATTTGATTATATTAGCATTAGATAATAAATTTTAATTATATTTTAGATTACTGATTGATTACTGACTTGAGATATGGCATGGAAAGCAAAATAAATTAAGCAAAGGAGAGTAAGAAAGATAATGAAATATAGCTGTAATGAATATTTGTTTATAAAAATTAAATGCAATAAATTTATTTATCAGCATAAATAAGAGTTTGATCTAACTTGTAAGAAAAATTGGTATATATTTTTAAACCTAGTTAAAGCTAAATTTGGACTGTTACAGCTCTACAAACTTGAAAATAATTTCCAGCAATTTCTCATGCTGTCTTTAGTTATAAATATTTTTTTTCGCAAGCTCTACGGCTAATACTTTCCGAGATACAGCCGAGAGCTATTCTTAGTGGGACACCCTGTACAAGAAAAGCTTAATTGTCGTAAAAAACTCATCGCAACTTTATTAGAATATTTTCATCGGGAAAGCGGTAATAATGGCTCTTTATGTCCCTTAAGTGCTGTTAAGAAGGTTGTGAGTTTTGTTAATGTAAATAATAACTGTTTATCTATTTATAAATAATTTATTTTTGTTTCTAAAATATTCGGATTAAAAGAAAATAAGTAAAAGTGGGCAACACTGTGCCGGTCAAGCTTAATCACGTGACTTAAAGTTTATTTGATGTGAACTATAAAAAACTGCATCTTTGTACCTCAACTATAAACAAAAAACTCAAAAAAATACACAAAAATAGGATATCCTGTACAGTCTAGGAAGGAAAACTTATTTTCAAAATAAAATTAACAGAAATCCAAAAATATTTTTAAAAATACAGAATATTAACTTTTTTACTTACCTAGCATTCATCCAACAGTAAATGATTGGATTGTACATGGAATTACTCATTGCCAGCCAATAAATAGCCAGGAAGGTTTCCTGGATATACTCCGACTGTGTGATGTCAGGAAAATACGAAATTACTATGAAATAGAGTTGATATGGCAACCAGCACACAGCGAAAATGATGACAACAACCATCATCATCTTTACTACCTATAAAAAAAGAAAATAAAAAAATTATTTATGAAATCAAAACCTATATGAAATTTTTTTATTAAACATATTTACACAAGATAAGGCCTCTAAAACAATCAAAAAAACATGTAATCAATGCATTGTCATAATATACAATATTATTTGCAATCATCTATCAAGAAATACTGACTTTCTCAGTACCTAAAAAACTTTTCTCATAGCGCTGAAAGAAAGACTCTCACAATGTGGCTACAAAGCCCATTTGACTGACAAGGCAACACCTGCACGTGAGAATAATGATAGAAAAAGATTAAAAATAACTGTTCTTTGCGATTAGACGTATTTGTTAAATTTTAGATAAATTAAAAAAAATGATTTAAGTTTTTCCTGGAATTTTAGAGAGTACAAAAGGGCTAATATTAAGCCCTTCATTGCAAAGTCAGAGAGGGAGAGATAGCTACATAAATTACAGAAAGATTAAACGATAATAAAGAAACATGGAGGTAAATTATTCAATGGGGAGGATAATAAAGGCTGAAGAAAAGGTGTAACGATGCCTGAAGGATCACCTGAAAGAATACAAAATGAAAAGGCTCTGTTAAAAGGAATTGTTTAAAGTGTATTAGGTTCTTCTCTGTTCACTTAATGTACGAATTAGAATGTCTTTAAATAGCAGTAAGTTTACCATTACAGTAAACAAGAAATTTTTTTATTCAACTTTATGTTGTTTTCTTAAGCACTTTTTTATAGTGGGGGAGCTCAAGATGCTAAATTTGGATTTACTAGAGCGTCGTCGTGGGGAAGTACTGTATTGTGAAAATTCGATTTTAAAAAGAAAAACAATATTATTTGATGTATGCTATTATATTGGTGAGGGGAGCGTGTACATGTTTTCAAAAATGTAAAAAACCGTTAAAAAAAAATATTCGAGAGCGTTAAATATTCAAAAGCAATGTGAAGCGAACCTCAAAAAAGCCCCTGGTCAAAAGACTAACGATTTGGACACGACCAAAACTCATGGCGGAATTTTTTAGAAATTCATGGTTCTCATCACACATTATTGCTGATTTTAGTTACTTCGGCTTGTGGAAATTGGCAAATTGTGTTATTCCCGTGATTCTTGAATGATTTCAGTCAAAATAAAAAAAAGACAACGCTCGAGAAAGTCTAGGTGAGGCTTTTTTGCAATTTAGGTACCTATTTTTTACAAGGTGCCTATTTTAATTGTAATTCTTGTCGAAGCGGTAGTGAATGAAATAAATCTTCAAGGATACTTCTGGGTACAATCATGTTTTTGATAGTATGTTGTATCCACATCTGAAGACATAGAGAGCTCTTTCTTTGTACACTTCAAAAGTTATCTAGACCAAATTTGTCAATTCCCAAAAAAAAACCGTATTATCATAATTTGGATCATAACTAGTAGAGGTATGGTTAACCGTTTCTTATTTTTTCAAGCAGTACAAGGTTCTATTAAATTATTTATTTATTTAATTTCAAAAAAGAAAATTGTATGGAATCTCAGACAAATAATGTAAACAGACAAACCTTACAGTACCAAACAAAGAAACCCAAGATGTACAAACCAGATGTTCTCAAGATATTTAGAATAGAACTAGTCAAAACATCTCGTTTCTGATAAAAAAAATTAAACATGTTGAGTAGATAGTTATTTGACTGAAATGATAAATTTGGGAACTTTTTGTTTTTTTAAATTAATCATAATTTTTTCTTTGAAAAAATGACGATAAAACAGTTTTTGTTGAACTTTTAGTACATAAACATTTCAAATTTATTATTTCAGTCTAATAACTATTTAGTCAACATGTTTAATTTATTAATTTATGTCAATAACGACAGGGATTAATAATTTCGATTTCAAATATCTCGAGAACCATTATCGTAGCGTTTTTTACCAAGAAACATTTTTTTTTAATACTCTTCAAACCAGTAAAAAAATATGTAGGTGGCGCCCTCTACAAGTAGGAGCCATATTGGCATCAAAATCAAATTTCTCATATCAAAAAACTCCCAGACACCAATTTTCATGCAAATATTGACGTTACTTCAGAAACTATTTGGAAAAAATCGAAATAAAAATGAAACTTCAACACCCTGTATCTCCGAAACAAAGCATTTTAGGACATACAGGTTTACAAACTTTTTTACTTATTTTTATCTGTAAAATATGCTGCCAAAGTTTCCGAAATACAGTTCGGATTACCCTGCATATTCTTTTATTTAATATTATGATTATTTTCGAAAAATACTTTAAACAGTGATTAATTCAGCAGATTCTAAGTACAATATTACTCCTGATAGCACGACAAACACAATCAACATTGAGAAAGAAAAAGATCGCTTTATGATTTCTACGATTACAATAAATGCCTCTAAAGAACATAATTCTTTTAAACAAAAGTCAGTGACATTTGATTCTTGCCGTTTTCAATTAATTCGACCCATTGTGTATCGAGTGGAGACCCTGTTCGTTTCGGCGCGTATAAATTATTCTCGCGAACAATGCGCCAATTATGCCCCAAAACGCGCGCCGCTCCTGCATCACGGCGAGAATGCAACGTTGCCGGCAATTCGAAACCAGACTAATTGCTGTTTTAATATGTGTGCGAGGAAATTGAGGTTCGCGCCTCCGGATTATGCCGGAATAGTGGTCGATTCTGTAAAGCCCATCCGAATCGGGACTTTGGCCTGGTAAATACCGGCACAAATTCAAGGTAGGAGAGAGTCTGTAAACTTGAATATATTCACGTTTAATAGTACTGCGGTATCAGGCGGGATATACATGTAACGTGTATGCTCTGGCACGTCTTATAACGTTACGTGGATTAAATTGTTTGCGAACAATGTAATACAATCTCAAACTTGATAAATTCTCATTAATAAATATGTTGCAACCTAGCATTTTACTTCTGATTACATCTTGTTTGTATATCTTGGGTTCCTTCGTTTGGTACTGTAAGGTTTGTCTGTTTACATTATTTGTCTGAGATTAAATACAATTTTCTTTTTTGAGATTAAATAAATAAATAAGTAAAATTCAATACCTTGTACTAAAAAAAATAAGAAGCGGTCAATCATATCTCCACTGGTTATGATACAAATTTTGATAATATAGAATTATTTTGAAAATTGTTTAATATGGGTTTAGATTATTTTTGTAGTACAAGGAGTAATTTGTGTTTTAAAATGTGGATAACACATGCCATCGAGAGCACCAATGCACTTAGAACCATCTTGTTTCACTATTTAAAATCTCTTTCGACAAAAATAATCATAATATTTAATAAAAGTACGTATGAGGTGTTGTAGATAATAATTAAATATCATTGGAATGTCCAAAAAACTCCCCATGTCTGGGAACATGCCAAGAAACGGTCAATCATACCTTCGCTAGTTATGATCCAAATTATGACAATTTTTTGGGTCCAGATAACTTTATATGAAGTTATGGTTGTAAAAAAAATGTATATTACTTGTCTGAGTTAATTTCGGGGGACGATAATGCAATTTTATCTTCGTGTATAAAACAATATTTTTTCCATAGCGAGTTACGTTTTAAAAAATATTCATAAATTATTATTTCAAGGAATTTATTACGAGTATAGAAAAAAATATTGTGCTGGGTTGGCGTTGGTTTCTATGTAATTTGACAAATAAATAAAGCTGTCTCTTTAGTTGTCAGTTTTGAGTCAATATTTTTTAATTCTCTTTCGTGTCGATTGCTGATTGAATTGGAGCCAGAAATGGCTCAAAACGAAATAAGTAAATTACCAACATATCCAAACTACTTCCATTTAAATCCCTAATAATAATTTCCTGCAATACATCCTATAATACATTGATTTTTTTTATATACTTTATATCTGCACTTAACAAAATTTAATCTACCCTTGCGGTTAAATCTACTATTGCTATATATATTGCTATAACCGTTCCGTTCCAGGATTTTCTAGGTCTGCCTCTCTTTCTTCTACCCTGGGGAGTCCATTGAAAAACTTTTCTTGGCCACCTGTTCTCCGGCATACGTAGAACATGTCCAAACCACTTTAAGCTCGATTTTTCAATTCGATCCAGCACTGTCTCCTCCGATGCATTCATGATACGCCTGACCTCGATGTTTGTCTTTTTTTTCCATCCTAGATATACCTGCGCTCCTTCTAAGATAGTCCATTTCAACAACTTGGATTTTGCGCTTCGTATCTGCACTCAAAGTCCATAGCTCTGAACCATAGCAAAGAACTGACTCCACCAATGTTCGTCCAAGTCTCTTTTTAGTTGTTGCAGACAAGTTTCGGTCCCACCAGAGGCTATTAAGACAACCAATAACTTGTTTGCTCTTCTGCCCAAACCCTCGTTGTTGATAGTAGCACCCAGGTATTTAAATTTGTCTAATTGTTGAATCTGGACGTTATCATCTAAGAAGACTTCAAAACAAGCGTTGGAATTGACAGCTAAGTATTCTGTCTTTTTTAGACTAACCTGAAGTCCCCATTTGTTATATTCTTGGTAAAGCCTCTTAGTCATGAACTCCAGATCGAAAGAGTCCTGCGCAATCACGACCTGATCGTCTGCAAAGCTCAGAGTAAACAGTGTATCTTCCCCAATGGGTATTCCCATGCCTTGGCATCTCCTCTTCCATTCCCTAAGGGCTACTTCAACGTAAGCATTGAAGATTAGAGGTGATAAGCTGCATCCTTGTCGCAACCCTTTTGTAGTATTTATTGGATTTGATAGCCTGTGTCCTATCTTAACGTACGCTTTATTTTCTTTATAGAGCTCTTTTATTATCTTAAGTAGGGGTCCCATTCAAGGCTTCCCATATCTTGTTGCGAGGAATAGAGTCGTACGCTTCCTCCAAATCAATAAACGCTAGATGGACTTCTTGATCTACTGCTATCTTTTTTTCCATCACCTGCTGTAGGACAAAGAGGTTATCTGTGCAAGATTTCCCCGGTGTGAATCCGTTTTGATCTACCGAGATTTTGTCACCAATATTATCCCTGAGCTTACCCTGCAGAACTTTTCCAAAAAGCCTGCTCACTGAACTGTTAATGCTCAGGCCTCTATAACAACCGGGGTCGTTGCGATTTCCCTTTTTAAAGATAGACACTATATGAGCCACTCTCCATTCTTGGGGTAGTTTATTTTGCAGACATCACTGGTTGAACACTTTCCACTTGCTGACAACTTCTTTCCCACATATCCGTTTTTCCTACCTTAATAGCGGCTCGTACCTCTCTGTTTTTTTGCTTGTAATGACCCCAGTTAGTCTCTGTTCTGTCTGAGAGCCATTTTTGATAGAATTTTTGTTTTTCATTTATTAAGGTCTTTATGTTGTCAGTTATCCAGGCTGGTTGGTGGTCGATTCTGTAAAGCCCATCCGAATCGGGACTTTGGCCTGGTAAATACCGGCACAAATTCAAGGTAGGAGAGAGTCTGTAAACTTGAATATATTCACGTTTAATAGTGTAACTGCGGTATCAGGCGGGATATACATGTAAAGTCTATGCTCTGGCACGTTAAAACTTGCAGAAGAAAAGGGATGAACCAGCCTGGATATAGCCACAAATAAATCTCTCAAAAAGGGATCTCTGTTAAAAGATGGTTTTCTAAAATTTTTATTCATGAACTAAAATTAAATTTCCTAGCAATCTAAATAATTAAATCAATCCATTGTATCTGGTAACAATAGAGGACTCCATTAGCCTATATGGCAGTAAACACTTAGGACGTGGTGATTGTGATTAATATATAGTTACGGAAACGCATAAATCAAATCTAAACTGTTATTAATCATCAATTAATCATATTATAATTCAATACTACATACAGATATCTCAGTATTATAATATTTAGTTAGAGTAGGAGGGTATAATATAATACTTATTTTACTTACTAACCAAAATAATAGTGATAAAAAAGTACCAATTTGTTATTTTTATTATTATGATTCTTAAACAAACGTTTTCTACGATTCATAGAATTGATATTCGGGCATTTATCGTGCGGCGTGTTTCAAGTGATTCACAGAAACTGTTGCGTGACTGTAGTTAATAAATTTCCTATTCGATAACCAACTTGAGGTGGATTTAATTTTAGAAGTTTTCTACTTACCTTAACATTTCAATGTATTTTAAAATGATAACATCGCAGATTTGTGCTTTGGTAATTGAATTATTTTTTTTTCGGATGTTTTATTTTAATTACCAAATGAAGGGTACAGAAGAAAAACTTTATAAGCGCATTTGACGTGTTTTTTTTGTGAAAAACTGTGCTTGGATGTTGTGACACTATATTTTTATCAAAATAGAGTGAATTAGCAATGTATGTCAATAGATTTTCGACATAGCTAGATCATTGCTGTTTCTCCTATATCTCTATAACTTTGTAAATGTAAATTGCTATTTTTCCGATATTGGCTATAAAAAAAAACCATTCTTAAAAAGTGTTATCAACTTAATAACCGAAAAAATTCGAATTTATTATTATATCAAAAAAATATAAATTTAAAACGGTTTCCCCCATTTTTTTAATGGTGTATCTCAAAACTACCCTTATCGGCAAGGAACTGGGTCACCCCGAGGCGCTCATACTCCATTAGCCTAACCCGAAAACGATGTTAAATAGAGCCGGAACTCACCTGCAAGAACAAATTGATTAGGGCAATAAATTCCAACCCGGTATATATACGACAGGCAAATTTATTTGTTTGCACCGTGTTGGCTCAGCGCTAGCTCGCGCTCTGTAATCCTGCTCTAAGAAAATACACTCGTTTTTTTTGCCCTGTTAGAGGCTCTATTATAAATTGTTTTTAAAAACTATCTTTCTCTCAAACTCTTTCTCTTCTTTTTTTCTTAGAATAGGTCAAAGAATCGAAAATACAAGCATGTCATTAAAGAACAACCTGTATATTTTATAACAAAAATAAGCTTGGAAATAGAAAAAAAAAACTTTGCATTCTCCTTTTGAAACTTCCTTTAAAAAAAGCCTGTCTATCGTTACGGGCTCCGGACAATCCGCAACATCGTCTACACATCCGATCTTTTTTATAAAGACTCTAAACGAATAAAACCTCCGTCCGTCCGTCGGCAATTGCATCTTGCCCGCCTTGTTTTATGCATTGATAATAAAACCCGGCCATGCCGTGCCGATCCGCTTTGTTCATTTGAATTTAAATGAAGTTTTAAGGCCGCGACGCAGCTGCGAACCCCACCGCTGCCACCCTGGGGGGTGCGGGGGCGGGTGAGACAAGCTGGGGGTCAAAGGGATTAAGTTCCGCTTTAATTTGTGGTTAATTTTGATGTTTTTTGAACAGGGAGAGACAGAGAGCGACGACGAGCGCTTAAAAAGATCGGTTTATTTTCTTTGTTTTGTAAGGTTTACAACCGAAGGCGTTGTTAACGCCCTCTGGATTAATTAGGAGGAGATTAAACTGGGTTAGGGAAAATATTATGAACTGTAATTTGCATTTTACGGAGACAAAAGGTATTACTAGGTTTTAGTTTTAAAGTAGAGGGGGTAAGCCCAAGTAACATTTTTAGACACAAAATCGAAACAAAAAATCTGCTGAGAAACCAATAACAATACAAATACAGATTTCTTGGCTTCTCTACGAAGATGCCAGCCAAGTAATAACAGCCACTACCCATACCCAACAGGAGACCGAAGATAAATGTTACCAGCAAACGTTTTTTCTCTTTTTTTCCACAATGGAATATATGTTTTTATGTTTTAATTATGTTATAATAAGTAAATAAAGCTGTTTTAATTATTTTGACCACAATTTTTGATTGGCGTTGTTGATAGGTGAATAGTTTTATAGAATTTCTACACAGATAGCGTTAAATCGAAACATTTTGGAAACAAGGTTTCCATTTATTGTCGATTCATTTTCGAAACACGAGTTTCTCTCTTTTTAGATACAGATAAAAACAAGATTTGGTACGTTAGTATATGCCAAAAATCAGGAAAGTTGATATGTGATATGTCATTCCACTCAGAGAATCATTTTCTAACGAATAAAGTAAAAAAATTCCGAGGGTGCAAACAGGAAGTGACCGAAAACAATTGAATACGTCAATCAATCCTAATTTATGTCATATACTAACATACCAAATCTCGTTTTTTTATCTGAAAAATTTAAAATTTAAAGCGGTGAGCCACTTTTCAGAAACACTTATAAAAACAATAAAAAAAAATATGCAGTTATTTCAGTTATGTTTTATTGTTTTTCTTTAGTATAAAATAATCTATTGAACTATTATGTTGTTTTCTTTTAGAATTTTTTTGGAAAATAAAATTTGACTTACCCTTCTTTTGCTCTTTATATTATCCATCTGCCTCTGAGTGCATTCTCCTATGCTCTGTGAACCCCACAGCTCGATTCCTATTCTGGCATATGTGTAGGTCATGGATAGAATAGGAACCAAATAAGTCACCACCAGAAAGGCCACATTAAAACTGAAAAAAAAAATTAATTTGGAATTAGTAAGATATATAAACCTGATAGGATACACTTATATTTATGGATAAATCTTTGAGATATTGTAATCTTAATAATCATTCTATTTATATACAGTCGGCAGTTTGAATGCAATGCTTAAATCTAAAAATTCTTTCTTCAATTTTCAAGGTACATGTACTGTGATAAGACATTTGTGTAGGATCTTCAGTGTTAACTTTTGTAGTGAGTATATCTTCATTTCTCTTTCTCTATTTTTATAGCTAGAAAAGGAGCGAACACTCCTATAACTGGACCAGAAACGTTCTGCTTCTCAAGTTAACATTATTATCATCAAAAGAATATATTAAAACCGAATTATAAGGAGAAAACTTTCCTGGACTGGGTCCTTTCGAACTGGATGGCATGTGTCCATCAGCAGTTACCAATAGCTGAAGAAGTATGATTCTTCGGTTGTGGGGAATAAATTCATTATTAAATAACATTATTATTATGAAAAGAATATATTAAAACCGAATTATAACGAGAAAACTTTCCTGGACTGGGTCCTTTCGAACTGGATGGCATGTGTCCATCAGCAGTTACCAATAGCTGAAGAAGTATGATTCTTCGGTTGTGGGGAATAAATTCATTATTAAATAACATTATTATTATGAAAAGAATATATTAAAACCGAATTATAACGAGAAAACTTTCCTGACTGGGTCCTTTCGAACTGGATGGCATGTGTCCATCAGCAGTTACCAATAGCTGAAGAAGTATGATTCTTCGGTTGTGGGGAATAAATTCATTATTAAATAACATTATTATTATGAAAAGAATATATTAAAACCGAATTATAACGAGAAAACTTTCCTGGACTGGGTCCTTTCGAACTGGATGGCATGTGTCCATCAGCAGTTACCAATAGCTGAAGAAGTATGATTCTTCGGTTGTGGGGTATAACTGCATTATTAAATAACATTATTATCATCAAAAAATATATTAAAACCAAATTATAACAAGAAAACTTTTCTGGACTGGGTCCTTTCGAACTGGATGGCATGTGTCCATCAGCAGTTACCAATAGCTGAAGAAGTATGATTCTTCGGTTGAGGGTATAAATTCATTATTAAATAACATTATTATCATCAAAAGAACATATTAAATGCGAATTATAACGCGAAAACCTTCCTGGACTGGGTCCTTTCGAACTGGATGGCATGTGTCCATCAGCAGTTACCAATAGCTGAAGAAGTATGATTCTTCGGTTATGGGGTGTAAATGCATTATTAAATAACATTATTATAATCAATCAAAAGAATATATTAAAACCAAATTATAACGAGAAAACTTATCTGACTGGGTCCTTTCGAACTGGATGGCATGTGTCCATCAGCAGTTACCAATAGCTGAAGAAGTATGATTCTTCGGTTGGAGGGTATACATTCATTATTAAATAACATTATTATCATTAAAAAATGTATTAAATGCGAATTATAACGAGAAAACCTTCCTGGACTGGGTCCTTTCTGAACTGGATGGCATGTGTCCATCAGCAGTTACCAATAGCTGAAGAAGTATGATTCTTCGGTTATAGGGTGTAAATGCATTATTAAATAACATTATTATCATCAAAACAATATATTAAAACCGAATTATAACGAGAAAACTTTCATGGACTGGGTCCTTTCGAACTGGATGGAATGTGTCCATCAGCAGTTACCAATAGCTGAAGAAGCATGATTCTTCGATTGGGGGTATGAATTCATTATTAAATACCATTATTATCATCAAAAGAATATATTAAAACCAAATTATAACGAGAAAACATTTCAGGTCTGTGTTCTTTCGAACTGGATGGCATGTGTCCATCAGCAGTTACCAATAGCTGAAGAAGTATGATTCTTCGGTTATGGGGTGTAAATGCATTATTAAATAACATTATTATCATCAAAAGAATATATTAAAACTGAATTATAACGTGAAAACTTTCATGGACTGGGTCCTTTCGAACTGGATGACATGTGTCCATCAGCAGTTACCAATAGCTGAAGAAGTATGATTCTTCGATTGGGGATGAATTCATTATTAAATACCATTATTATCATCAAAAAGAATATATTAAAACCGAATTATATGAAGAAAACTTTTCTGTAATGGGTCCTTTCGAACTGGATGGAATGTGTCCATCAGCAGTTACCAATAGCTGAAGAAGTATGATTCTTCGGTTGAGGGTATACATTCATTATTAAATAACATTATTATCATTAAAAAATGTATTAAATGCGAATTATAACGAGAAAACCTTCCTGACTGGGTCCTTTCGAACTGGATGGCATGTGTCCATCAGCAGTTACCAATAGCTGAAGAAGTATGATTCTTCGATTGGGGGTATGAATTCATTATTAAATACCATTATTATCATCAAAAGAATATATTAAAACCGAATTATATGAAGAAAACTTTTCTGTAATGGGTCCTTTCGAACTGGATGGAATGTGTCCATCAGCAGTTACCAATAGCTGAAGAAGTATGATTCTTCGGTTGAGGGTATACGTTCATTATTAAATAACATTATTATCATTAAAAAAATGTATTAAATGCGAATTATAACGAGAAAACCTTCCTGGACTGGGTCCTTTCGAACTGGATGGCATGTGTCCATCAGCAGTTACCAAAAGCTGAAGAAGTATGATTCTTCGGTTGAGGGTATACATTCATTATTAAATAACATTATTATCATTAAAAAAATGTATTAAATGCGAATTATAACGAGAAAACCTTCCTGGACTGGTCCTTTCGAACTGGATGGCATGTGTCCATCAGCAGTTACCAATAGCTGAAGAAGTATGATTCTTCGATTGGGGGGTATGAATTCATTATTAAATACCATTATTATCATCAAAAGAATATATTAAAACCGAATTATATGAAGAAAACTTTTCTGTAATGGGTCCTTTCGAACTGGATGGAATGTGTCCATCAGCAGTTACCAATAGCTGAAGAAGTATGATTCTTCGGTTGAGGGTATACATTCATTATTAAATAACATTATTATCATTAAAAAATGTATTAAATGCGAATTATAACGAGAAAACCTTCCTGGACTGGGTCCTTTCGAACTGGATGGCATGTGTCCATCAGCAGTTACCAATAGCTGAAGAAGTATGATTCTTCGGTTGGAGGGTATACATTCATTATTAAATAACATTATCATCATTAAAAAAATGTATTAAATGCGAATTATAACGAGAAAACCTTCCTGGACTGGGTCCTTTCGAACTGGATGGCATGTGTCCATCAGCAGTTACCAATAGCTGAAGAAGTATGATTCTTCGGTTATAGGGTGTAAATGCATTATTAAATAACATTATTATCATCAAAACAATATATTAAAACCGAATTATAACGAGAAAACTTTCATGGACTGGGTCCTTTCGAACTGGATGGAATGTGTCCATCAGCAGTTACCAATAGCTGAAGAAGCATGATTCTTCGGTTGTGGGGGTATAACCTGCATTATTAAATAACATTATTATCATCAAAAATATATTAAAACCAAATTATAACAAGAAAACTTTTCTGGACTGGGTCCTTTCGAACTGGATGGCATGTGTCCATCAGCAGTTACCAATAGCTGAAGAAGTATGATTCTTCGGTTGTGGGGTATAACTGCATTATTAAATAACATTATTATCATCAAAAAAATATATTAAAACCAAATTATAACAAGAAAACTTTTCTGGACTGGGTCCTTTCGAACTGATGGCATGTGTCCATCAGCAGTTACCAATAGCTGAAGAAGTATGATTCTTCGGTTGGAGGGTATAAATTCATTATTAAATAACATTATTATCATCAAAAGAACATATTAAATGCGAATTATAACGCGAAAACCTTCCTGGACTGGGTCCTTTCGAACTGGATGGCATGTGTCCATCAGCAGTTACCAATAGCTGAAGAAGTATGATTCTTCGGTTATAGGGTGTAAATGCATTATTAAATAACATTATTATCATCAAAACAATATATTAAAACCGAATTATAACGAGAAACTTTCATGGACTGGGTCCTTTCGAACTGGATGGAATGTGTCCATCAGCAGTTACCAATAGCTGAAGAAGCATGATTCTTCGGTTGTGGGTATAACTGCATTATTAAATAACATTATTATCATCAAAAAATATATTAAAACCAAATTATAACAAGAAAACTTTTCTGGACTGGGTCCTTTCGAACTGGATGGCATGTGTCCATCAGCAGTTACCAATAGCTGAAGAAGTATGATTCTTCGGTTGGAGGGTATAAATTCATTATTAAATAACATTATTATCATCAAAAGAACATATTAAATGCGAATTATAACGCGAAAACCTTCCTGGACTGGGTCCTTTCGAACTGGATGGCATGCATGTCCATCAGCAGTTACCAATAGCTGAAGAAGTATGATTCTTCGGTTATAGGGTGTAAATGCATTATTAAATAACATTATTATCATCAAAACAATATATTAAAACCGAATTATAACGAGAAAACTTTCATGGACTGGGTCCTTTCGAACTGGATGGAATGTGTCCATCAGCAGTTACCAATAGCTGAAGAAGCATGATTCTTCGGTTGTGGGGTATAACTGCATTATTAAATAACATTATTATCATCAAAAAATATATTAAAACCAAATTATAACAAGAAAACTTTTCTGGACTGGGTCCTTTCGAACTGGATGGCATGGTATGTCCATCAGCAGTTACCAATAGCTGAAGAAGTATGATTCTTCGGTTGTGGGGTATAACTGCATTATTAAATAACATTATTATCATCAAAAAATATATTAAAACCAAATTATAACAAGAAAACTTTTCTGGACTGGGTCCTTTCGAACTGGATGGCATGTGTCCATCAGCAGTTACCAATAGCTGAAGAAGTATGATTCTTCGGTTGGAGGGTATAAATTCATTATTAAATAACATTATTATCATCAAAAGAACATATTAAATGCGAATTATAACGCGAAAAC